GAGGACGGGGCCCTGAGACCCTGTGTCCCCAGTGTGCCCCCTCCCACCTGCACCAGCCTAACTCTGCTGACCCCTCCAGATCCACCTGGCTGGGTCTCATGAGCCTAAACAGTGGGGGAGGCTAATGGAGACTCTGGTATGGTAGGCAGGGTGGGCTTCCCAGGCAGGTGACCTATTCCGTCACACATGGCCCCGCTCCTGATGGCCCATGTGGGGTGGGTGAGTGCTCTGCTGTCACCATCTTGAAGTTCTGAGTCTTACTGGCGAGCAGTCCCACGGGTTCATTTTTCTGTGTGCCCTTCCAGTTACATGGCAGGTCCAGGTGATGGATCTGGGCCCCTTTCCTGTAGTCGGGAGGGAAATTTTGGAGGCAGCACTGGGTGTGTGCATTTGTGCGGACGCACCTGAAAAAAGGCTCTAAGTGTGTATGTGCTCCCAGCATTTTCCATGTGCATGTGTGTGTCAGGGCTCAGTCAGGGATGCCCCAGGAACAAGGAGTATAGTTATGGGACGAGGGTCTTATCTGAGGCTTTAGACCCACCTGTCTGGGGGGAAATGAAGAAGGCAGGTCTGAAGGATGAGAGGAAACACTGACCCCATAGACCCTCACACCCTGGGAAATCTAGGGTGAGGGACAGCACTTTCCTGGCAATTCTCAGAATGTTCTTCTCAGGAGCCAGGTCGGCCCAGAAGTAGGACATGTCTCTTCCTCCCTTCCTGGGTTCCCCCTGCCTTCCCCTATACTTCCACTGCCCCCACCCCAAATGTGAGGCTCACCAGATCCTACAGGGAGCTGTGGTTTTCCAGAGCTCAGCACAGGGCCCAGGTTCAGGAGGGTGACATGTAGGGTGTTGGGTTTTTCCCACTGGCCAGTGTATTTCTTTTGCTTGATTTCATGTGAGGTTGGGCTGGCACAATGGCATCAAAGTGTTCATACGGGTGCCCTACCAAAAACATTTGCCAAGGGCCCGGCATTCTCTGAGTGACATTGACCACTCAGCAACCTGGGAAGCCAGACTTGACTAACTGCCATACTAGGGGTTTAATACGGGACTCATGGGGAGGTCTGTTTGGTACCTTCTGCCTCAGTGGGTCAGCAGTGTCTGGGGTGAAAATGACCAGGGCGCTGTGGCCTGCAGGTTGGAAGTTGCAAAGAGTGACTGAATGCAGGGTACACCCACCAGGCACCCCTCAATCTCAACTGGCACCTCAGAGGCACGGATAGTTGTTTCCTTACTACCCCACCCCTAAAATTCTCTCCCCTGACCAACTCTTATGTGGGACCATAGAGGGTGTGGAGAAACCAAGTTGACCCAGCATGCTCTGAGGCAGTGTTCATGTCCTGCAGTTTTCTGTGTGCAGGGAGGGTGTGTGTGTGTGCTTGTGTGTGCATGTGCTTGAGGACAGGCTGGAGTGAGCGAGGCTGGGGGCCTGGGCCCGAGTGATTTGTTCCCAACAAGTCAAGTCAAGCCTGGCAGAGCTGGCGATGAGTTGTGTCCTCACCCCATCCACAGGGTTTCGTCCCCAGGACTTAGGCTCCCCAGGGTGTCGGGTCTGGGCTCCTGGTCCTCTTGTGACTCACCTGGACCGCTGGGCGGTCGCAGTGAGGACCACAGCAGCAGGAGCAGGCCTGCAGTCCCACACCCTCCTCTCCCCAGGGTAACTTGAGCTAGAGCTTGCTTGACTCCATCGAGGATCAATATTAGAAAAATAATTCGGTGAGTTTGAGGTACCCGGCTCAGCCTCCTGCCTCCCCCTCGCCCCATGGCCTTTCTTGCTTAAGGTGTGGACACAGGGTGCCCAGCCCCTTGAGCTGGAGGTGGAGGGCTAGTAATAGTAGCCTCCCACGGCACACGGTGGCCAGAGCCCTGCCCTCCACTCAATGCACGATGGTGACTTGTGGGCCGGGTGTACAAGCAGGTGCCATCATCGATGCCATGGAGGTGACTGCGGGCCAGGGCCTCTGGGATAAGTCCCTTGTGTCTGTGGGGCTATTGCCAGAAAGCCCACATTTTTTTTTTTTTTTTTGAGTTGAAGTCTCACACAGGCTGAAGTTCAGTGACATCATCACAGTTCTTGCAACCTTGACCTGCTGGGCTCAGGCGATCCTTCTACGTTAGCCTTTCAAGTATCTGGGATTATGGGCCTGTCCCACCATGCCTGGCTAAAGGCAACCAATATCTGTGGGCTTTTGTCTCTTTGGCTCTTGCAAAGGCTGGGAGGCATTGGAAGGGTCAGAGCCTTGGACTGCACTCCCTACCACCTTCTAGACCCTGAATGTTCCCCTGCCCCTTCTGCAAGATTCCACTTCCTTACCTCAGTAAGTAAGACAGAATTACATGACAGAGACTAGGAACCCTCTGGCCAGGAAGAAGATCCAGGGGCCCAGGGACCTTCTTTCGAGAAAGAAGAAAATCTAGCTATCCAGGGGCCCTCTGTTAGAAGAGATAAGGACCCAGGGGTCCAGGGGCCCTCTGTCCAGGGAGATAAGGACCCAGGGTTGCAGGGCCCTCTGTCCAGAGATATAAGGATCCAGGGATCCAGGGGCCCTCTGTCCAGAGAGATAAGGACCCAGGGGTCCAGGATCCTTCTGTCCAGAAATATGACGATCCAAGGGCCCAAGAGCATGAGGAGCTTTTTTGACAAGGTGCTGGGATTGTTAAACCTTCTAATTAATATTTTGCAAGACCCGCTTGCCTTGGTGCAGATGTTAGAGTCTCTTGTCACTAATGCAAAGTAAATCTGGAGCATAGTTAAGAAAACCTGGGCCTCTCTGGCAGCATTCTTCATGTACTCCTTCCAGGTCTAGGGAGCCCACCAGGTGGATGGGAGAGAGCACAAGCACATCCCGAGGCCCTCGGAACCCACTTCTCAGAAGGACTCTTCTGTCACCACCGCTGCCTTTCTTTCCATGGACCTGCCCTTGGCTCCCTCCCTCAGCTCCTCCCGTGCCTGGGGTCCCCATCCCACCCAACCAGTGCTCCCTGCCTGGCTTCCCTCCTGTCAGTCTGACCCATTGCTCTCACCTGGTGTCTTGATAAAAGTTGCTTAAGTGGAATCCAGTGCCTGCCCTGAGTCTTCTCTGCTGGGCAGGCCCAGGGTAGCAGGCTGAGGGAGACCGTGGATCGTGGTAGGGTGGGTAAAAAACCCATTGGTGGTGACCAGGTTCTTGGTACTGAGAACAAAGAATTCAACAGGACACACACAAAGAGAGTTAAAGCAAAGAGTAGTATATTTAGCAAAAGGACAGAAGTCTTACACTCCAGAGAAAAGTGTGGCGCAGACTCAAGAGCCTTAAGTTAAACAAAGCCAGGACCTTATTTGTTTTTTTCCTGTGGGAGAGTAGGCTCTGTTTTTGCAAAGCTTGCAAAAAAGATATTTTGACAAATGTATCTGGGGTTAAATGCACTTCCTGGGGAAGGGATGACATTTCAGGCTACTGCGCACGTCTCTGCCCGCCACCCCATAATTTTAATTGTATGTCTGAGATGCAGTCCGCAAGCATTTGCCCTAACTAGCTCTTGTGCGTGGATAGGTTATGAGAAGTTCAGGGAGGTCCCTAGAGCACATGTGCCATGCTTGAGATATTTTCTTGGCGAGTGTTATGACTTTCTCACGTTGTTTTAGAAAGGGATGTTGCTTATGTTGTGTCCTGAAAGGTTGGTTAACGTTTTAGCTTAGGCTTCTTTCTCGCCTCTGTTCTGTCTTGGAAACTGATTAACGTTGCAGTTTTACGACTTCTCTCCTGCTGAGATTTGCCTTCTTTTCCTTCTTGTCTCCTGCATGCTCTTCCCTATCTGCTGCCTCAGCTCCAAGCACACAGGCCGGGGTTCCAGCTTTGGGTGAGTCAAGACAAGCCGCCTGATCTGTCTCATCTCCAAGGCTGGCATTGGTCACCTTTGGCCTTCGGCCTTGGGTGTGTTAGTTACAGTGCCTGAGGCACAGGAGAGGATCCCTGGACATCCACCCTCGGGGCAGCAGGGACTCGTGTGTGTGTGTGTGTGTGTGTGTGTGTGTGTGTGTGTGTGTGTGTGTGTGTGTGTGTGTGAGAGGGGGCTTTGGCCCCCTGTCTTTCTTCCTCTTTCTGCCCTCAGCAATTCCGCAGGGCTGGGGCTATAGAAACCCCTCAGATTTTAGACCTCGGGAGCAGGGGCAGAAGGGGGCCCAGATGCATCCCTACCTGGACAGGGTTGAGGGTGGACGAGGGAGGAGGCAGCAGTCAGATCTCTGGGTCTGAGGCCTCATGCCCCCTGCAACGGCAGACATTGGGAGCAGCCAGGAGCAAAGCCTGGTGGGGCTCGGCAGCTTTCACCATTTCTGAGGCCAAGTTCACATTCCTTGGAAGAGGCTCCACCCTCTTCCCCACTTTCTGCCTCTGGCTGACTTGCCGGGAGTTATTTTCTGTTTTCCTCCTTTACTTTGTCCTATGGGGACTCCTTCCTCCCCTATTCTTTTGACTCGTGGCTGTCAAGGACAACCTAGTTCCTGTCCCCACACTCTCCCCTCCCCAAACAGGTCCGCTGAAGTCTCCATCTGCTTCTGGTGGGGTGAGTAGCCTTGGGCCCCCAGGTAGGCTTAGGCTCACCCTGTTTCTTTCTTTCTTTCTTTCTTTCTTTCTTTCTTTCTTTCTTTCTTTCTTTCTTTCCTTTCTTTCTTTCTTTCTTTCCTTCCCCCCTCCCTTCCACCCTTCCTCCCTCCCTCTCTCCTTCCTTCCTTCCTTCTTTTTTCAGAGTAGGAGTCTCACTCTGTCACCCAGATTGGAGTGCAGTGGCATGCTCATGGCCACCACAGTCTTGGCCTGCTATGCTCAGGTGATCCTTCTGCTTCAGCCTTCCAAGTAGCTAGAACCACAGGCATGTGCCCCTATGCCTAGCTAATATTTTTATTTATTGTAGAGACAAGGTCTCTCCATGTTGTGCAGACTGGTCTCAACTCCTGGGCTCCGCCTCCCAAAAGTGCTAGGATTACAGATGTGAGCCACTGTGCCTGGCGCCCTGTTTCTTTGAGCTCTGAATCGCCATCTGTGGGGTGGGGCCCTGTCTATCTTTCACCCTCTGGCAGAGGAATGCCTCTTGTGTGTGAACTGGAGACTTTAGTTAACTGCAGATCCTAGGAAATATGGTCCATAAAAATTTTGGGTCCCACGTCATTCATGTCTGGCAAATTCACTGTTTTCTGATTTGTTTAGAGCTCGATGGTTAAATGTTGGTTTAATTAAACATGAATTATCTGGAAGGGTGTGGTGGCTCAAGTCTATAATCCCAGCATTTTGGGAGACCAAGGTGGGAGGATTGCGTGAGGCCAGGAGTCCGACACCAGCCTGGGTAACGGAGTGAGACCTTGTTGCTACAAAAAAAAAAAGAGAAAAAAATTAGCTGTGTGTGGTGGCCTGGGCCTTTAGTCCCCCCTAATCAGGATTCTGAGGCAGAAGGATCGCCTGAGCCCAGGAAGTTGAGGTTGGAGTAAGGCGTGATCATGACACTGAACTCCAGCCTGGGGGTCAGAGTGAGACCCTGACTTAAACATTTTTAAAAAGCAAATATCCAAGCTATATTATATACATATTTCAAAGGGTTTTATGCTTCTTTTCCCCTTGAATTGTGTTTTGGGGCTGAGTGTGGGGAGCCCACGCTGACCTCCCAGCCTCCTCCCTCCAGGTGCCCAGTTCCAGGAGGTGGGGAGAGCTGTGGAGATGAGTAGAGGAGGTGGACTCAGTGCTGCCGTGACCACTGAATGGGAAGACCTATCTGCTCTGGGGCCAGCAAAGAGGTGGCTGCCCACGGAACCCGAGTCTCTGGAGAGGTGTGACCCACCCTGACCCCCATCTGGGATGGTG